TTTTGCCGGACGGACCCCCCCCCGTCCGTCTGGGCCGGACGTCGGCCTAACCCAGCTATAATGACCGTACGACGTACGTTGTACTCGGGGGAAGACTGTAGGCCTTTTCTGTGCAGATTTTGACGGGTTTCCTTGCACAGTTAAGATATTTTTTAAAAGTTGTCCTTTGGGATATTCGTTCAACTTGGAATGATAGAGAGAATATTAGCATGACCCCTGGGGCAAGCATTGCCATTTAATAGAGCTTAGAACTTGACAGCCTTCGGAGGGGAGAGGGGGGGGACAACCAAAAAAAAAGTCATGATTGCCTCTCTATGAAAGTTAGCAGCTTTCCAGGAAAGTTGTCATGAGGTGGACATAGATTTGAGTTGGATTCTTTTGGACGGATGCGATGTTACTGCAGAGGTACACAAAATTTGGAAACGCGTCAACTGTACAAATTGGGAGGGAAGGACAGAGTGGTCGCTTGTCCATCCCCAACAATGAACTATTTGTTCCATGCCACTACAGGATGCCCAGACCTGGCAGTCTCATACAGGTAGCCTCCATTCCCAGTTGAACAGGTACCTATTCTGTGAGTCTGTGAGGAATTTGACAAACCTGAATAACTTCCCAATGTCCCATGCATCACTCAAACAAAAACTGAATTGAAGACAAAATAGTGAGAATCACAATTGATAGGAGGATTACACCAACACTGACCAATGACCAGACTTGTATTGAAAAGTCAAACCAGCATACTTCATGAAACAGAGAAAAAGATATATGGCCACTTGGGCGCCTGGCTGCACCAAGCAGTCTGCAAAAATCAGCACTCAAAACCCTGTAGAGCAGAAAAAGGCCAGAACACACTGGCTTTGGATGCACCCAGACTCTCTTCCGTCAACTGTCAAAATTAGCATTACCCGTTCCTCGCATCATTCCACAAAACACAAAAAAAATCACGAACTGAAACTGAATCCATTCCACACCCAGCTCGTCATTGAATGACATGCAATGTCATGCATAAATCGAGAAATGGTCGGATGTTTTCAGGGAGGGACAAAAAAAGGACAATAGACATGCAGAAACCCATAGTGGGATTTTTCACCATCACTAACCTTGAGGGCAACTCCTCGCTTCTCAAACCACTCCACTGTATCAAGTGGACCATGAGTACGAAAATACGCACCCTTTAGCTCCCGATTACCCCTTGGATACTGTGCAGCCAAACCCTGAGAGAGAGAGAGAGAGAGAGAGAGAGAGAGAGAGAGAGAGAGAGAGAGAGAGAGAG